CAAACAAACTAGTTTGGATGTATGAAATAGATTTTTATTAAATATAGGCAAATAAGAGAGAACCTTTTTTTATAGGATGTATGAAAATGTGTTTTGACATGGAAGTAACTTGACATTTGTAAATTACTCAACGTTGATTTGCAATAGAGTAACATCTTCTAGTATAATACCCATTTCACACAGTTGTATCTGAAAATAAATATTTCTCTCTCTCTGAATGTTGAAAGCAGGGCTACAAAAATAATTTCTAAGATTTTAATTTAAACCTTGTCCACTTCTGATTGTATGGTTTTTGAACTTTTTTTCCTCTGTTCATTTACTAACATTCTAGAAAGAGTTCAGTTAAATGCTATTCACAATTGGTCTTAATAAATTGTTTTTGTTATAGAATCATGGAAACAACCAGGAAGGTAGAAGCCATGTGTCAGATGCAGACCTAGAAGACGCGTCTTCTGATATTGATCACTCACAAGTACCCTTGAATCCCTACTCATGTACTTTGTCCTCACATGGCAGTTTTATTGTTAGTTACAGTGTGGGAAATGGTGTCCACTTCATTCGCCACCTTCCCAAACCTCCACCGTACTCCGAAACACTTATAACGAGTAGCGGCCCTCCTCCCCCTTACAGCAGTGTGGAAAACATAAACTGCACATCATCAGCAGAGGGCACTTCTTCAACTAATGCAACTGAAGAATGTAATTCTGTCGGAGCTCTAAAGTAGCAATTTGGTAATTTGGTCTCTTTGTGGTAGCAGAAAACGTACTAAATAACTTGTATATCAATGTAACCTGGAATGGTAAAACCAAAAAAAATATATATATGTAGAAAAGCAATAACTTACAGATGCTCAAGGTCACTAACAATCTTGTTAAAAGTGTGTCTGTTGCATGTGATAACCTGAGGTGCTCAAGACTTCAAAAAATGTTGTCCAAATTTACCTATAGCAACTTAATAATCTATGCTTCTCATGACCTTGGATGTCTTCAAAATGTACCTGTACTTAATGAAAGACTGGAAAACAACGAAATTAAAATGCAACTGCTTCTGAAGAATATTGTGAATCTCACAAGTTTGAACCTTAAAGCCAGGAACATCACTCTAAGTGTAATTTTGTGTTCTGCCATTTTTATATTTTAAAACGTTTAGCTTTTTGTATAAAATAAAATATTAGAAATTTCTAACTTCACTTGATCTTCATTTATTGAAATATTTCATTCTCACAGATAGTCATGAACATTAAAAAAATTCTTTTACATGTCTCTTTCTAAAGTCATTTGTTGTTTTTTTTATTTGTGGGTGAAATACTCAAATTTTTTCAAGAATATTCTCATTCAAGGAAGAAGCATTATCACTAGAGAACTTCAGTAGGTGCCAAAATTTTTGTACTAATGAGGTCATTGGGTATTTTTGTCCTTGACATCTCCAGCTTGACATTATTTTTCGTAGTGTGTAATATTGATAAGGACAGTTTTACTTTATGTTCACAGGTTTTAAGCCTTTAATTGTTGCCAAGTTCAATTAACATTTGTTCGTGAACAACTGTAGTTGAAGCCACTGTATATTTTTAGAACATTAAGGCTTTATTTACAAAATATCACAGTGTCTCTCATAAAATCATTAGTTCTTCAAGTTCTCATCATTGGAAATGTAAAAAATAATTATAAGTAGACAAATGTTAGAAATTATCATATACATTTAACATGTTGTTCTTGACACTGTAGGTAGAATGTTTTTCAGTGATTATTTCTTATGTTAAATAACAATGTAAGTCCATACATAGTAACTAATAATTTTACTTTGTGTGAATCTATTGCCAACATTTAAAGAAGCCCAAAGTGTCTTGTGAATTTGTTATTGTTGTGTTGATTGTACATACATGTATGAACTAATGCTATTAAATATAGTACAATCCTTGTGTGAATATACCTAACACACTTGTTTATGGAGATTTTTGTAAGAAGATTATTCCCATGAACATGTTGCCGTGGGTTTAATATCTTACTTGTTAGTTAAGTAATATGTATACATATAGTGCATCCATCACACATTAAAGAAGTTGTGGAAAGACGTGTCTTTACGGAAAATGTTTCTCTAAAGCTGCCATAAGTTCGGTGTTATTATTATTAAAATGTATAGCTGTACCAGTAAATATTATTGCTGATGGAATTTCAGGTAATAATTATCTCAACCCCATCATCATGAAGACATCTTTCCATGATTGTGAAAGTGGTTGTGTTTTTAATAAAGCGAAAAGAAAAAAGGCAGGGTTTTTAGCAAGTATGGTATATTATTATTAATGGTAGTAGTAAAATGTATAGCTGATGGAATTTCAGGTAATAATTATCTCAACCCCATCATCATGAAGACATCTTTCCATGGCAGGGTTTATAGCAAGTATGGCGTATTTGAAAATGGCATCTTTTAAGATTTCAACTTTTTTTTCAACCAGTTTTCCACTAACAACAACAATC